TGCTCAACAAGCACTCTCTGATTCAACTTCTCCCTTTTCATTTATTCCCTGGCCATGGAGGCAAAAGGCTGCAAAATTAATGGATAAAGAATGGGGAGGGGAGGAGGGGGTGAAGGGAGGGCAGGGACAAGGGGAAAAATGAGAATCAAGACCTATTATGTAAAGGTACAGAATCCCAATGATGAATGTAATTGTATTGTATACCTAGATTGTACCAATAAACTCAATAAAAAGAAAAAAAAAAAGAAGAATAGTTGCTCATCCTCATAGTCCCTATCTAAAAGTGACTTTGAGTTTTCCAGTGTGGAATCACTCAGCATTTAAAGAATTGTTATTTAAAACAAACATAAAGTAAGTCTCAAAAAGAAATATTTAAGAAGCAGAAAGAAATCAAAATGATTTATGTTGAAAATTCTTTGCATATTTGTCTAAGGCTAACTTTAAATTTCTAGGCCTAGTTGGAGCAGAGAGCTCTATTACATTACTTTATAACCTACTAAGAAAAATATGTGTCCATTTTTTATCTCTAACTTCTACTGTAATTTAACAAAACAGACTGATGAGTGAAAAGTTGCTTAGTTTAGTTTTTACTAACATGATTGGCACAAGGAAAGGTAACTAATAGGGACTGATGCTTATCATGTGTAATTCTAAGCTACACTTTGAGGCATACCTTAAATCTTCACTTCATGTCACCTCTATACAATTTCACAGAATGCAAGTTGCTTGCATAGCCCCATTAATATCACTTCCGTGTAATTCATGAAAGAGACAATGAGAAACTTGAAGAAACCATTATCGCTTGATACTTACATCATTCTAGAGGCACTCTACTTTTCTTTCCATACTAGAAAATAAATTGCCTTGCATTAGCTAGTGTTTGGAAAATTGTGTGCATGCCATAAAATTATGGAGTAAACAGGAAAAAATACAATTTTCTGATAATTTTATTTCAAAGAAATTAATTTATGCTGACTAAAATGTACCTCTTGAAAAAATTAAATTATAAATAATTTGAAAAGCAAGATAAAGGACACATAATACGAAATGGGAAAAGAGGTCCCCTGCAAATGGGAAGGGGACCGAGAAGTGGAAGGAGAAGAGAGGAAAGGAGAAGTAAAAGTAATTAAAATGATTTATGTGCATGCTTCAACTCCTCATGGTGAAGGTAATTAATATATAAAGTAAACATACTCATATAGATTAAAAATTAAATTTAGCAATAAACTCAATCATTCTTAAGGAAAAATAATTATTTAAAATATCAAGGAAACTCCTCAACATGGCCACAGTCTCCACTTAATAAGATTCTACTCCTGATTCAAATATGCAAAGAATTATTCATACATCACTTACAAAGTTTTTCTGAATTGTACTTTTTGATCGTTTTTTTTTTTAATTCCCATGCTCCTTAATGCATTCTTAACATCATACAAACCAGTTTGCTGGACACTGTTCTGTTGTTCAAATTGCAGAGCTGAAAACTTTACCTATTTTACCTTATTTAATACAAGAATCCTATAGGTAGGCGCTATTGTTAGGCCCATTTTACAAGGGAGCTAAGCTCTAGATTGAAGTTGTCATAGCTTCAATTTTTAGTGATGATGGAGGTTGGGCATGAGCATTCTGACCCCCAAGTCCATGCTCTTAATCACAACATAGTATTACCGCCAGTATGATTTTTTAAAGCAAAGTAAGTATAATTCTTGACATCTACATCTTATTTCATCTATATTGTGAACCACTTTATCTGTTCAGTTACTAAATGTCCATCTGTGCCACATAACAAAATCCCTGCACTCATGTAACTTGCTGAATTATAAAGGAAGCAGGTATGAAAAAGAAGCAGGAGGAGAGATGTTACAGTGACCATAAATCCAGAGCTTTAAATCCCCTGGAGCAGCACTGTTCTGAGACAGGGAAGGTTTCCTAAAGTAACATCAGGCCAAAAGCAAGTTTTGAAGAATGTATGCAAATAGCTGAGCGGTGGAAGATTGGGAGCTTAAAGCTCATAGCAGGAGGCAGCTATATCTGTTTCGCTCTACACTGGGCTGTGAGACAAAACCTGGAGCTCTGTGCATCCGCTAGAAGGTCGGTGGAAACACAGATGGAAAGTGGGAAGGTAGATCAGATTAGCCCATGAAGGAGTCTCAAGCCAACATGTGGAAAGCTCGTGTCTAGGGAATGTCACATTTGCACTTTGTAAAATCTAATCACAGCCCTGGTTGGTTGAGTATGTTTTGTTAAGGAAGCAGGCCAGAACAGAGTGAAGGAGACAAGCTAGGAAGCCATTGCAGTGAACCAGGACAGAGATGATGGCCAGCTAAATCAAGGTTGCTCTACTGAATATTGAAAAAGTGGCCAGAGCAGAGAGATGTAATGAATGATTTGGAAATGATAACTTTTGGTGAATGATTGGGCAGGTTAATCTGAGCTTTCTAAGTAACATCTGAATGGAGAAATCAAAAAGGTATTTGGGTGTTGAGAAAATTAGGAGACATAGTTCAAGATAAATAGCTAAGATGATGGAGATTTTTCTATACTAATATTTTTAAAATTAAAAAATTTTGGTACTGGGGATCAAACTTGGGACCTTGCTGTTATGAGAAAAAATAAGAACCAAGATGGATTATGTAAAGGGACAAATTTGTAACAATGAATGTCATTGTATTGTACACCTTAAATGTGCCAATAAAATTAATTTTAAAAGTATCAGTCAGGTCAAGTTTTGTTTAAAAAATTAAAATTATTCAGCACATAGTGTTTGGGAAGTTAATATTTGTTTTTTGGTTGTTTTTGTTTTGTTTTGTTTTGTTTGAGACAGGGTCTCACTATGTAGTTGAGATTGACCTGGAACTCACTATGTAGCCAAGGCTGGTCTCGAACTCACAGCAGTCTTCCTGCCTCAGCCTCCCGAGTGCTGGGATTACAGGCGTGCACCACCACGCCCAGCCGGGAATTTAATATTGATTTAAGAGTGAATAAGCATTATATATGTATATTGCTCTGGTCAGTAGAAATTAAAGCCCTTAGGAAAGTGATATAATTACAAATAATGTTTATCGGGTTAAAATGTATTTTAAAACAGGAATTTTGTAAATGGTCTCAAAACTATGTTGGGTGAATTATGTGAGGACACAGCAAGGTTGACATCACTCCCGTGCTCTCACATCCCCTGGGTCCCCTTCATTCTGCTCATGTCAGTTACCGTCTGGAGCCTACTCAAGCTTTGCCCAGTTGCTGATCCATAGCAATCATGTGTAGAGTAGGGGAAAGAATAAATGACTTGAGAAAATCTAATAAGTAAATTGTTAAAAAGTGGACACGGACCATGGGACTTGGAAGATTGTTAAACCAATCATTCACATACTCATATACCAAGCTTTTGTGTCATTTCTAGGTTATTTTCTGCCTTTTGATGATTATTATAGGAAATGTGATTTATTACATCACATGTTCAAAATGTAGAAATAATATGTTTAACACAGTTAAGTTTTCTTTATTATTGAAGAGGTATATTTTTGATTTTCAAAGCATATATATGTGTGTGTGCCTCTGTACATGGAGACAGTCTGCTAGACATTTTAAGACAATGTTGAACAAAATTGGACTTGTGAAGCTTGGAGTAGCCATTAAGTAAAGAATCACCCAAAAGAATATACACACACATGGCCATGTGCATTGACAGGAACTATGATTAAGGTAGCAAATCTGATAACTTCCTTTACCATCACTGTCTCCAAAAAATAAATAAAACATTAATTTTTTCAAACAATACACACTGAGAGACACTGAATATGATATTTAACATCAATTGCCCCAATAAATAAAGCCTGGATTTCTTTTATATTGTTCACTTTCTAATAAAAACAAATTTATCAGTATCTTTTTCATTTTTAATGTCTATGGAAATGCTGATGTTTTCAGATGTAATAATCTAAGGAATTGTTGCTTGGGGACAATTTTTTTTTTCATTTTGTTTATTGGTACATTTTAAGTATAAAATATGGTGGCATTCATCATTGGGAATTTGTACCTTCACATGAAATATCTCGGTTCTTATTTTCCCCCCAACTCCCCTGCCCTCCCTTCAACCCCTTTCACCCCTCCTTATTTACAGACATTTTTTCATTTTTCTCATATTTTCAATTGTTAATTGTTACTAGTTAACAAGCCAATACTTTTTAACATAAATACTTACCATTTAATTTGTGTAAGAAGTCTGGGTCTTTCAAAGGTTGTGCTCTCCTCCATGCACCACAAATAATGATACTTTTACCAATGTTCATATTATTATCTTAGTTTTCTTTTGATATTATGCAATCAGGTGTGTAAAGAAGTCTCCCTGTCTCAGAAATTATTGGGCTGAGATCTGAGGGCTAAGCAGGAGATAATAAGAAAAGGATGTTGTGGACAATTTTGAACAGGCTAAAACATTAAAGTTATGGCTTAACCTGGGCTTGATTGCTTAATGCCTGAAAATATAATGGTTGTAGTATCTGAAAATAATCATAAAGATAAGGATCTGCAAGAGATATTTTGAGGCAAGAAATGCAGAATCAGTGAAATGTTTAAAAACAGATGTGGAAATTGAAAAGAACATTTTTTTGTTGATTGTATTTTACAGAGTACAGCTTGTTCAATAGGGCAACTTAACAAGAATAAAAATGTCTCCTAAATCTGGCAAAAGTATTTTCTATGCCCAGAAATATTCATATGTGCCAATAGAACTATTATTAAATAAAGTTTAAGTGGGTTTGTTTTGTTTGGACACCTGTAGTTTGTTTTCAGAAATTTAGTCCTGTTTAGGCATTGAAGAGACTACAGTATTTTATTCCAAAATTTTATGGCACAGAAGGCCAGTCTCTCACTTAATCATGCCAATTCATCAATCAAGATACATGGTACTATATATGTAAAAATACAATAATATATGTTTTATGTATATCAACATATATATTATATTTATATAAATCTAAAAAGAAATTCAGTGTTGTGTGTGGATATTTGCATGTGAGTACTATTTTGTTTTACAGATGTGGCTGTTCGAGGCAATGGCATGACCTTTCACTTTGGTGTGTAAGAGTGTAAAAGTGTAACAATATGCACACTATTTTTTCTTTTAAGAAAGCTTGTGAAAATCTAGAGTTATTTCAATGACAATGAGAGCAGATTAAAATTGCTGTGGAATTTGCTTTACTGCGCAATGATCCAGTAATAGCAAAGTTTAGGTAGAAAACTGCTACATTCTTTGTAACAGGATTGAATTCAGAAAAGGCTGGCCAGGCTCACATCTATTGGGTGAAGCAAGCGTAACTGTGCAGGGAGCAGGCAGGCAGGCAGGAGAGTTCTGCGGGCTCCTTCATGATTGGAAGACAGAGACTTGTCCAGGTGCTTAATTTGCTTCCCATGGACAAATCTCTAGAAATGTCTTTTTCCACAAAGGTCCCAAAGTACTTTCTGAAAGAAAGATGAGAATAAAGGTATCAATTAAAGCAGTGTTTTCTTTTATTGACCAGAGTAAAATTATTTACAGTCAGCTGCTTTGTTTTTACCACAGCTCTATGTTAATGCACAGTGTTTGGCTACCACAAAGTATTTCAAATAATTTGCATGTCATAGATGCTCTTCTCTTGTTTTAACATTTTATTTGGTTAAGAATTACAAATAAAGCTATGTTTTAAGAAGCATACTAACGATTATCTATAACCATAGAAACTATTCTTTTTATACAAGTTAGCCAGTAAGTTAATTGGACAGCAGACCTATAACCAAGGTGCTTTTTGTATTCAGATATTTGATATTATTTAGAAAACATACACACAGTAATTTTAATTTTCACTCTAAGGTCAGGGAAGAATCTAGAATCTTAACTGGCTAAATTGTCACATCATTCTGGATATTGTCAATTGTCTCCACTAGAAATATTTGAACAATTTCAAACTAAATATCACTGAAGACAAAATGAGCAAATTGGTCATACTTGCTAACCTCACTGATTTAAATCACTAGATAAAACAAAAATTCCATTTCATATTTCTTCCAATGTATATTGAGCAATAATCTGACTTTCTAAATATAAAAAAGTCACTTAATATAATGACAACAGAATATTTGTACAATGTTTACTAAAATATAATGCCTTAGAAACACTTTAAATTTAGTGATTCATGGGGAATAGCTCAATATCTTTCTCAAAATATTTATTTGAAAATGTAATTTATTTGCTTTCATTTGTAAACAATTATGGAAACACAGAAGTGCTAAAATCCAGAGCATTCATAATATAAACAAAGAAAAATAAAAACACAAGAAAAACCAAGTGAACATTTGGTTCAAAACAATATATATCGCATATATACACACATATAGTATATGTATATAATCTCCAAAGTATCTTTTAGAGAAATGAATGATTTAATTGTATGTGAAGCATTCCACTTAGAATTCCAGATCATTTGTAAAAAGTCTGCTTTTGGGTGCACATTTTCTCTTCTGCTCTGTCCCTTGTTCTTTTATCTAAAAATAAGCTCATATGTGAATTCTCTAAAATAATTATTTTCTCTCGCTATCTCTCTAAGCTTCTGCCCTCCATCTTCTTTCAAAGGTTGAAAAGTATTTTACATACATGTATTTTGTCTAGCATCAAATCAGAAATCATCTTCTTAGCCTCTTGTAATGTGACTTTTAGCCTCACACCTCAGTCTTTGAAAGTCATCAGAGACATTTTAGCTAATACAGACAACAGCTTCTTTTACAGCCCTGTTTTTTGAGACAATGTCTCTGTCATGGTTTTCTCCCTATATTTCCTATCAAATTGATAACAGTGTCAATGAAATTATTAAGTTTGATATGAAGTTATGCAACGGACACACCATACATTTTATGTTTCTAAGAAGAAAAATAATGCTGGTGACAAGGTGGCTACTGTATTGGAAAGCTGTAGAGTATCAGTTTCCTAGTTAGTAATTTCATTATTGGAAATACATGTTAATAAAATTACTATGCCTACAAAGTGATATCTTTTATGATCTGTGCCTTATCAGATATAGAAATATCAATGTCTGAAAGAGGGCAGGGATTTAGAAATATGTGGTATACTTGATTGAATGTTATCATGTTAAAAATAATGCTTATGAACATATAATGTTATATTAATTATATGAAACATGTACTGTAAAAGGCAGAACACTAGCTTGCACAAAAGCATTTATAGAAGTAACAATGGTGTAAACATTTATAGCACAAAGAAAACATACATCAAAATTATGCATTGATGACATCTATACTTACTTTCTAAATTTTCTACACTTTTTGCATTCATTGTATCATTTCACCATATGCTTAATGGCATGGATTGGATTTACAATTTTTCACAACTTCGAAGTTATGAATGAAGTAATGATCTACTAGGGGTAGGTATTTATGTAAAACAAACAAACCCCCAAACACGGTGCCAAATCTCTGGAAAGTGTCCTACAAGTTTTCATTCTTCCCAAAAGGAAGGTGAATGTTATGATTGTTCTAAACTGATTTGGGATTTTGCCTTTGCATTACTCTGATTTCCTTAAATCTCCTCTAATGACTCAGATTTTGGAAAAGTTGGTAGAGAATCAAACAAAGACGCAAACGGAGTGTGCTGTCAAAACCCACTTGATCTGTTGGAATCCAAGCGTCAGCCACAGTTCAAATCTGCACAGATTGCTCAAACTTTAGTCCTGCCTAAGGTCTTCCCCTAAGCTAGACATAGTAAGCCAAATGTCCTTAGAGATAACAGCGATGTTCTGGCATGGTTTGTTCCTTTTGCTGTGGTTTGGAAGAAATGTGCTTCACCACTTCTTTCAGTTTTGCAATTAATCCTAACAGTCACCTAAAAACCCTATTAAGTGCTTTACTACAGGAATTGGCTGTAAATAAAGCTGGAAAGAAATTTAAATCTCTCTAGGAAGAAAGGATAATGGTTTAGCAGATTATAATATGACACAATATAATCGAATTCTATAACAAACCTCTGTAGCACAATTTCGATCTGTCCATCAGATCCATAACACAAAGCCCTCACTAACACGGGTCTGTTGGGTCAGATCTTGAGTCAGGTTAGGAAAAGATTTTCCCCATTCAAATATCTCCACTGGCTTCCAGATGGTTGTCATTTTCTTCGGGCTGCTGAAATGGGAAGACGTCAGTAGGATTGTAATGGACATCTCTGGTGATGCCCCGTCAGTCAAGGACACATCTTGGGAAGATGCCGAGGTAGGACATGGACATAAGCCAATTTTTAGTTCACTTTGAAAACAACAAATGAGTTGTATGTATTTATCCCTTGTATGGGTTTGAACTGATTTTTAGTATTATCTCTTTGGGGGCTGACTCAAATCTTTTGCTCTGAAGCAGCACGGAACTGTTTAGATTTTGTACTTCTCACTTGAGGAAGCTCCAGTTACGTGACAAGTGATACAGGTCTGCATTTAAAACTGGATGAGTTATAAGGAATGACGTGAAGCTCTGCATGTCCCCAGAAACTTTGCTGGGCCTACCAAGTCCTGAAGGAGAAACAAACAAGCAAATAAACACAAAACAAATGTATGGCATTTTAAAACTGAAATTTGCAAAAACACCCAGGAAATTTGAGTTGCCATGACCATCGTTTGTTACCTTAGCTCTCTATTAGGTCCTCTCCAAGAGGAATTTATGGCCACGAGCAGCTCTTTTCACTAATTGTTGTACCATTTTCACAAAGACTATGGGAATTTACTAAGATGCTCAGGTGTATTATCAGGTAGCTTTTCTCAGGGATAAATCACAGGAATGACAGCACGACCTGCAGCTAGGAGTCCTGTGTTAGAGGAAATAATACCATTAAAAATTTCTCTTGAGCCTAATTAGAAGGTACTTTGTCAGGTACCCTATCATTTACATATTCTATTTTAAGTTATTATATAACCACCTCCAGGGCTCCTGTGCCCATGGAACTTGAGAATTGTCCAAGCTGAGAACTGTCAAAAGCTGGTAGCATCAGAGAAGGGACATCTTTCTGAAGAATCCCAATCAAGGAGCACATCTGAGATCAGCAGAACAAGATTCCCAAGTGCCTGGAACTGCCTCATGACACTCCCCTCTTGATTCCTCTGTCTTTCTTTTCTGATTCTTCTCTACTATTTCTGATCACTAAAGTGAGATTTTTCTTTTCAGACTGTTACCTTTAATAAGTCATGAGCATAAGAACAATTACTGTATAAACCTATTGATATCATACCACTTCTCCTCAACTTGGATAGATGGGGTTTTATTCAACTGAGCCCCCATGGAACAGGGTTTGGCTAAGAGACATTGATGAAGACTTCTTTTGGCACTTTTATCTCAAGATTTGTTTGCTGTAGTTTTCCCAGAGTCTTAAAGGTTTTCATGTAATTATTCATTTGACAAAAGAATGAAATTCAGTGACAAAAACAAAATTATAAGGAACATTTTGGCAGCCACTGCCAAGTTCAGGATTGTGATTGATACAAGTAGCATGGACCTGAAAAAATTGCACTTTTAGTCAAGCAATGGGAATTCATTGCCTTGAGAAAAAGATTTTTTGAGAGACTTTTTGAAGGGTGGAACATTTTGATTATGGTTCTCACATATCATTGGATCCTGCATCTTTCTGTCTTCTACTTTTCTGATGCATTTTTACTGCTAAAATAATGCCTTAGTAGATTACAAAAGCCACTCTTCTTTTCTCTAATTTTTAGACTACTATTGAGAAGCAGCAGACCTTTGACTGACCTCTCTCACTAAGGTGTTGTAAGAAATTGGCTGGGAGTACAGCTCAGTGCTCACCTACCGTCTGAGAGGTCCTTGGTTTGATCCCAGCATCATAAAAGGTGACTGTAGAAATGCTTCCCTTTTTTTCACATGACAGAGCAATCTTAAGAAATTCTAAATAAAAACATAGATTTAACTATGTTCTCATTAATTTTTCTCATAGTATGAATTAATGTCAATAGGATACTATTTAAAATTTTCTTTTCACATCAAGCATATTATACTAGCAATGCCATTCCCTGTACTTGTATTTATCTATTGCTAGAATTTACAAAGAAAATGAAAGGAAAAATGGGAAATTGTCTAGAAATTTAGTCTGTGAGATAAATAGCTGGGTGATTGAGCACCAAAAACTGTTAGATTGACATTTACAGATTGAAATCCTCAGATAAATGTCAACTCCCTTCTTCAGTTTTCTACTAGTCAGCTTTCCAGTTACTGGGACACAATACCTGACATACACATTTTAAGGAGGAGAGGTTTGGCTCGTGATATCAGAGGCTTCGTCCATACTCAGCTGGTTTCAAGGCAGACATATCATGACAAATGGCCATGGCAAAGTAAAGATTCATAGTTAAAGGAGGCTGGAAGCAGAGCAGGGAACAATCAACAGACAGGAAGAGGTGAGAGGTCACATAGACTGGAAGGTCATGTTTCAATGACACACCCAGACATCCAGAAGTGTGCTTTACTTATCCCCTGGGTGGCTCCCAAGCCAGTCAGGTTGGTAACTCAGATTAACCAAGACAAGTTTCAACATGGAAATTTTCCAGTTAATTTTTGACTGCTATCAAGAAAATAAGAGAAATGTTAATTCCTCTTATTGAGGAAAGAGTTATAGGGGTTATAACCAGGTTCTCCGTAATAAATCTGTGATCTTGGACATGTTTTGATTTGCTTCTTTGAATGCATATCATCATATCCATAAGTGTGAAATGAGTTACCCAAGGCCATACGTGAAATCAGAAGACATTCTGTCAATCCCTCATTTGATGTTTATTTCTCTACATTATGGCTTCCTACAGCATGGCATTAGATACTTCAACTAAATATCTTCATTCATTATTTCTGCTTTCTAAATGACTTATCAGTAGAAATGAGGGTATTCTCTTTGTAAGAAGCTATTGAAATTACTATTATTTTTAAATTTCATGGACAAATATTTCCTGAGTGGTAATTGTTCTAAGCACTGGGAAAGTGGCTGTGAGCAAGCAAGGCAAAATCATCACCTGCTGGAAGACAGCATCTATGGAAGAGTTGGAGAAGGAAATGTATGCCATGACAGTAGCTTTCAGTGATAGATAAATTAATGCATAACACAGGGAGGGACTACAGGGGGGTGGAGGGGTCATTCCACATATGGTAGTCAGATAAGCCCATTTGAGCAAGCCACAAGTTATGTACAGGAAGGAGCTTGTGAGTATTTAGGGGACTCTTGTTACAGGCAGAAGTGAGAGCAGTACCAAGATTCTGATGTGTGTATCTGAGGAAAGCAAGCTGTGCCTAATGAGTAAGGGAAGAAGGGAAGTGGAGCCAGAAAACTAGTTAAGGAACAAAATATGTGGGTCATGGTAAGACATTTTGATTTTTTTTTTCTATTTATAAAATTAAGCCTGGAAATATGTCTTATTATAGAATGCTTTATGGGATAGTGCAGTGGTAATTACAAATTAAATGCATTAATTAATGTTAATAATAAGTATTTATGATCTTGTTTAAATATTTACTGTACTTTTTATAGTATGGATATCATAGGAACTATATGGATTATGAAAAAAAAGAATTCTGAAAATTCAGTTAATTTTAGTTACATTCAGTACAAAAAAGTTATTATAATTGTGTTGCTACTAAATATACAGTTGTGTTGTTTAAAGCAGAATGGTTATTCAGGCATGGTGGTACACGCTTGTAATCTCAGCACTCTGGGAAGCTGAAGAAGAATGATAGCAAGTTTTATCCTATCCTGGGCAACTTAGACACATAGTGAAACCCTGCTACAAAATAAAAAAGAGTGTTGAAGAAGAAACTCAGTAGCTCAGGTGAAGGCCATGCATTCTGTACAGGCTGATGTTTTTTTAAAAAAAAGAGTGATGAGAAATGTTATTTGAGGATTTCACACAAACACTGATTAAGAGAGACAACGAACGACACCACATCCTTGTAAAGGGAGAAATTCAAGAGGAAGAGATGACAATCATAAATATATATGCACCAAATACTGGTGCACCCAGTTATATAAAACAAATACTAATGGACATGAAAAATAAAATAAACACTAATAAAATATCACTGGGGGGTCCTCAATACCATACTGTGACAGAAAGGTCAACTAGACAGAAAATAAATAACAAAATGCTAGAATTCAATCAAACTCTTGAACAAATAAATTTAACATGTTTACAGAGTATTCCACCCCACAAAATCAGAATACAGATTCTTTTCAGCTACACATGGGTCATTCTCCAAAATAGACCACATACTTGCTCATGAAACACCTTTAAGTAAAGTGCAAAGGAACTGAAGTTATCCTCTAGTGCAAAGGAATTGGAAATTAATAGCAAAAGAAACTGAAAGAATTTCATAAACACATGGAAACTGAACAACACACTTTTGAATAACCAAGGGGTCACAGAGGATATTGAAGAAATCAAACAGTTCCTACAATTAAACGACAATGGCAATACAACATATAGGAGTCTATGGGACACAATGAAAGCAGTCTTATGAAGGAAATGTATAGCAGTGAATACTCATTTAACCAAAACAAAGCAGTCTCAATTATACAACCGGATGCTGAAACTCAAGCTTCTAGAAAAAAGAAGACCAGGACAAATGCAGTGTTCATGCATAGGAGGAAATTATACAAATCAGAGCAGAAATCAATGCAATGGAGACTAAGAGAATGATACAAAAAAATCAATGAAGCCAAGACTTGATTCTTCAAAAGAATAAACAAAATGGAGAAACACTTAGATAACTGTATCAAAAAGGAAAGAAAAGGTCCAAATCCATGCAATTAGGAATGAAAAGGGTGAAATTACAATGGACCCAGAAGAAATCCAGAGGATCATCATACCTACTTCAAGAACCTATACACCAATAAGATGGAAAGCACAGAAGAAATGGAAAGATTCCTAGATATTTATAAATTACCAAAGTTGAATGAAGATGACCTAAAAATTCTAAATGACCCAAAATCAATCAATGAAATTGAAAACACAAAAGCTTACCAACTAATATAGACCCAAGCCCTGATGGCTTCACTGATAAATTCTAGAAGACATTTAAAGAGGAAATATAACCATAACTGTTTAAACTCTTTGGTGAAATTAAAAGGGAAGCAATACTCCAAAATTAATTCCTGGAAGCAAGCATCACCATCCAAAAAAAACTGAATGATCCAACTGAAAAAGAGGACTATGGGCCAATCTCATTAATGAATATAGATGTAAAAATCCTTAATAAGATACTTTCAAGTAGAATGCAGAAGATCAATAACAAAGTCATACAGCCAGACCAAGTGAGATTCATCCCAGGGTTACAGGTATGGTCCAACATATGCAAATAAAAGAATGTAATAAACTATATTAACAGAGCCAAGGATAAAAACAACATGATCATCTCAATATATGCAGAAAAAGCATTTGACAAAATCTAACATGCATTCATGCTAAAAACCCTACAAAAAACTGGAATAGAGGGTCTCTACTTCAACCTGATAAAAGCCATCTATGAAAACCAACAGCCAATATCATACTCAGTGGTCAAAAACTAAAATCAGGAACATGAAAAAGATGTGCACTACACCACTCCTGTTCAATATAGTTTTGGAAACATAAGCCACAGCAATTAGATAAGAGAAATAAATAAAAGGAATAAAGATAGAAAATAAAGGAGTCAAACTGTCATTATTAGGAGATGACATGATACTCTATAGAGAAGACCCTAAGAACTCCATCACAAATCTTCTAGACTTAATAACCAAATTCATTAAAGTATCTGGATACAAGGTCAACATACAAAAATCAG